CGTGGTAAATTTCTACATAAAGCATTCAACCTTAGAAGGGAGTTTTCGTTACTATCGGTATAATAATTTTGTTATATATATATATATGTATTTTACAATTTCTGTACATTCTCCAGTGCTTGTGTATTCTTTTGTTTTTTTGTTATGTATAGTCATATGGGCCTGTAGCCTAAAAGACAATAAACAATAATAGTTATCATTTTTTTCCATCACAAGACTAGATTTTATTTTGCAAAACTCCAGGGCTACAACATGTTTCTAGTCCGATAGTTTTGACGTATTGCCGAAAACAACCAGGCGGATTTACCCAAAGTTCATGCTCTCTAAACAGACAGTGGAGGAAGAAGTTGAAAAACAAAACAAATACTAGTATAGACCATACTTCAACCACTCGATGGCGCTAATCAACAAATTATTGGCGTTAGGGGCGCACTTCGCCACAGGTATCATAAAAATTCAAAATGTCGGACATGGAGGAAGATTTCATGTGCGGTGAGGAGGAAGATTATAACCTAGTAAGCTCATAGTTGTTTGTTTTCATAGTTGGAGAGGCCGATTCGTGTAACAGGAATAATAACAAGCTCCACGTAGTATGCACAGTTTCTTGGTTGGGTATTGTATTCAATCGACGATTGTTACAAAACAGGAGTGACATGAACTTCATGGCGGCAGCCATTTTTTCTTGTATAGGGTCGCTTCGACATTGCACACCATAATATTTGGGTTGATGTTATCGTTTATTATTTGCTGGTAGTGTAGTCAACAACGCTTTTGCAAAATATTGCGATTCTCTGCCGTTCTTTTGCTCTGTTCAGCGAGAATGATAAAAACGGGAAGCTCACACTCGTTGTTTAACTCAACTTTCAAGAATTAAACAGGAGTATACACCTACTTCAACTTGTTCAAAACACGCCAGATTTTTCCCGATTACTCAATATTTTGCGTAAACAATTTCATCATAAAACTTACTCGAAATTATCTCTAATATATATTTAAAAAATCGAAAACTGAACAGTTGGCCCACATAGCCACAGAGTGTGATATAAAGTACCTATTTCTGTCTGTCCACTTTTAATATACTTGGACTGACCTCATTAACTATCTTTAATGTCATGAATCTATACAGGTACACATACCAGAAGGTAACAATTTTGCATCACGCTTTTCAAAATAGTGAAATCGCAAATCTTGCACACTTCAATTTATTGGAAACAAACTTTGAATAAGTAATGTGTATTTCTGATGGAGGATTTCCATTTTATGCAGCACATCCTTTGCTTAAGACTTTCATAAGCGCATGATTAGGTACAATGATATAATTTCGTATGTGATATAACGCAATTTGTCGACTGTTTACTTTACATCAGCAATCACAGGAAAGCCTGTGTAAACTGTAATATTTTCATGAAAACAATAATATTGCGTGACTTTGAGAAACGCAGATTTTATTTTTGACAAGATTGATACATTTATTCAGTGTAGATCATTTATTGGGAAACATTGCATTAGTCAAGTAGGGCTTTGTATCCTTCCCCCAATCAAACCATAATTGCAGTATATAAATGGTTCATAAATTTAATATTTCTATTCATGTATTTCTTGTTTTCTTGCATTGCTTTCTATGTCTAATTTGCTAGAAAAAGAGGATTATGAGCTTATTAGTTAAGATACATAGTATGATGAAATTTTAGACATTTTGTAAGAAACTGAAAGCCATACATGTATACATCCACTATCCAGGAATAGAATACATTTCATGAATGTATCAATATTTACAGTTTGGTTACAATGTGAAAATAAAAATATTCACCTGCAAGGTGCAGATAGAAGTGCATATTTCCCACGCATTGTATACTGAAATTTTGTCCTAACATTACTTTTCAGAAGTACATTTTGTAGATGGGAATCTGATTTTGACATGGCTATGTCATATAATAAGTTAATAATTCCCCCAACACAATGCTGGTAAAAATGAGAGAAGCAGATATTTCTTGTGTATCATAATATCATTTTATTCCTGGCTTCATTTTCTGACAATTTGTCTTGGTATTTTCAATTCTTTCATGATATATAACTTGATAAACACAAGTGATAGGATTATGGATCTCGCCGCTGCCGCTACCAAAATATCCACTGCTGAAACATCCACCTTAGAAAAACTGATTGACTTCAGCATCTATGACATAAAAATGTATCACAGGGTAAAAAAATATGACACCTTTCAGCAGTCTTTCAAGTTTCTAAATTCCCTCCCTTTTAGGATAGATATTGGAAAATACCATTGTTCTATTTAAACTAATTCCTGTAGTCTGTATGATGTGTGCATTTTTGACGCTTTTTTTCCCATTGAGCTCTAAATCTTAAAAATTATATTTGATCTGGAAAGTGAAATAAAATGACAAACACAGTAAACTGGTAGGCTGACTTTTCACATTAAAAAAACCATGTATATCATGTCAGTTTTCATAAGAGAACATATATAGAACTGATTCTCAGAGATGTTGATCTTAGAAATGTCATTAGTAACAACAGTTTAGTCATTAGCTCTGCAGGTGTTTGAACCATGCTTTGTTTTAATCTGTATGCACCAGACTTCCACTGTGCAAGTCATGCTTTAGGAAATAAAAAAATCTATATTTTATAGTTGTGTTGAATATATTTTGATGAGAATCAGGTCCAAGAAGGAACGAGAATGAACAACTAAAACACAGGCTTCTTTACTCAAGTATACACACAAATAAACATGACAATGTAGACATATTTTTTTAATCATTGATGTCAACTGTCTGACGTTAATCTTGTACGCAATGTGTACATTTCAGTATTCAGAATCACCCGATCTTGGCACTAGCAGTAGATTAATTCACAACTCAAACTTTTTGCATTGGCCTTCTATGTTCTGTTATGCATGCACAAAGCCTTACGCAATTCATGGACAAATTGGTGCGACTGTGCCACAGAAATAATATTGTTAATACATGTTTGGTGTCAAGAGTGTATAAAAGAAAATTTAAATGTTACCAAAATATTGTTGGCTATAATAACTTGATGTTAAGTGCCCGTTGGTGAAGTCGCTTTATAAATTGGTTGACATATGTGAGAAGTATTACACGCCTTGATATTATATTTCATTCAACAAAAACAAAATGTATGTCTTTTTTCCCAAAAAAGTATCTTGGATACATGGTGTCTGCTTCTGGAGATGATGCTGGAGACATGCACAGACATCTCAGGTCAATTTATGCAAGGGCAATTTTGGGAAGTGTTTCGAACATATGAAATGTACTCTATTTCTATTTGGTAGTAACTATTGCCAAAAATGTATGGAGCAATTATACTGTTAAGCAGTTGCGTGCTCTGCATGTAGCGTACAACAATGCATGGCAGTTGATTTTTAACTTAGAGGTCGAGCAGTGCAAGCGGTAATTGTTTCAGAAAAAATATTTTTAATTTTTCAACACTTCATAGAAAATCTGTGTACAATTTTAAACCTTTAAACAGGGATTATTTCATAGTGACAATAGTATAATTGTGGCACAACTATAGGCGCCTTCTTTGTAAATAATGCCATTTCTAATGTAATTTCTCTATGGACCTTTGAGTCTGAAATAAAGTATAATAATAATAAAGCAATGTATTGAACACTGATGATGAGAAGAAGTGTTATTTACACTGGAAACCATACAAGTGTTAATTTAATTCACTTTGATGAAACAAGTACAGGTATACATGTATCTGTATTAGTCTCTGTCTAGATAAAGATATGTTTTGGTTTGACATAAATGGTTATCTGGAAATGCATTTAAAATCAGGTTCTGCTTTACTTAAATTATGATGCAATCAGTTATGACA